CCCGCTACTGCTGCTTAGCACCCACTACTGCTGCTTAGCACCCACTACTAATGCTTGGCACCCGTTACTACTGCTTAGCACCTGCTACTGCTGCCTAGCACCAGACAGTGGCATTCTGTTCATGAGGTTGAATATCACAAACCAGTACTATACCCCCTATGACATGGAATACCAGTGCTATCGGAATGGGGCTTTTTTGATGAAGTAAAAGATGGCCGCCTCGGTCAGATTTTTCAGTCGAAGGAAAGCAGTTGGGTGGCTATGTTTTCCCGGCCTGCCGCACTGGTCATGGAGATGTGGGTCTTTGTGTATCCAGTACATGTGTTCTGCAACCTGGCAGGTTGGATTTGTGAAACAGGTGTCCTGCTCCCGAAGAATGGGTTATTGGCTGATTACGCAAGCGACCACTTGCACACCTAGACAGTGGACAGTCTTGACGGAGTTTCTTTCAATGTTCTCTTCGATGGTTTATCTACAGCTTTCATACAGGCACACCTGTCTTTGGCATTATGGCTGTGTGGCTTACTTCGAACCTTCAGTGTGTACGGGGGAGTATGCTCCGTTCCCTGCTTCTTCGTAAGTCATCTACATGTATGCTATAATTATGTTCTCATGTCAAAGACTTACATCATCATACCTGTCAGCATCACATCATCATAATTAAGCCTGTCAGGATGACATCATCATGCTCGTGAGCATAACATCACCATATACCTGTCGGGACTACCAGCAGGAAGCACGTCTTTGTCCAGGTTCTCCTTGTGGCTGGTGTGCTATAGAACTGAGCGAATTACGTGAAGTGAGCTACTGTCTTGAACGTTACGTTTTCGGTCTGTCGGTCTCTCTCTCTCTCTCTCTCTCTCTCTCTCTCTCTCTCTCTCTCTCCTCTATCTATCTATCTATCTATCTATGCCTCCCTCTCTCCTTCCCTCCCCCCCCCCCCCCTCTCTCTCTCCAGCTTCGCCATGATCTCCATTTGCTTTCAGCTTTCTTATTATAATTATTGGATCAGTGTTCACACTGCCGCTGTGCAGTGCATGCATGCTATGACCACTTGACCTGTATGTCGCCTTTACATTGCACTGCCATACTACAGAACATCATGATCACGTTGTTTTGTTGTTGTTGAGAATAGCCTTTTTTCCAATTTCCATTACACCGTTGAACTGCAGTATCATGCATGCCAGTCCTTTATGCCCCTCAATCCATTGTAAATACTTCATTATGATGCATGTATACGCGTGACTTGATGTGCCAGTGCTGGTATGTCAACTACCACAACTATTCTACTTATGCTAGTACCTTCTGCTTTCCCTTTCAGCTTTGAGACTGGTCGTGTTGCATGCCATGGAACATAGCACTTTGCCAGAGTATATTTTATCCTGTAGCCAACTATTTTCTTATTTTTTTCCATTTATCCATAGTTTTGGTATAGCCCGCCACCGAGCTACACCGAGCTACAGCAGGCAGTCACAACGGGAGCTGTGGTCGGTATAATACTGTGTACTTCTGACACGCTTGTGCACACCTTCAATTGCTTTATACTAGTTTATAGGTTCATATCAACATACGGCGCTGAGTGCGACCTCTTTCTCATTTTGGAATGTTTTAGGCGCTTTTCTGGATACAAAGGTTAACCGTGCACTGCCGGTCTCAGAATTCAATTCCTGTAAGCTCTGTGTTGTCCAGTGCACGGGGATCTGTGGTTGGAAAGCGCCCGCGTGTGTGTGTGTTTGCCAACTTGCCATAACGCATGGAAGTTGGACTAGTTTCACGATCCAGTATGTCGTTACTAGTGTAGCTATCATGGCTGAGGTTGTTGGTATGTCTACTCGCTCTGGGTTCCAGTATTCAGTTGGCGAGGCTGATGGTTGATAAAATAACTCCAATCTCACTTGTTTAGGGTACCAGCAAGAGTCCATAAACAAGAGTATGCAACTGTGATCTCTTTTCTATGGGCCAGATGCACGGCGCGCTGCCTTTATTACATCCGCAGTCCGCGCACTGCGGAAAATCATACACCGCACTTTCCCTCTGGTTTGAAATGAACTTTCGTACGGAACTGGAGTTCACGCGCCAGAATTCAGAGATCGCGTAGGTACTGGAACGAATCGAGCAAAAACGGATGGGCTCGTACGAGAAATTGTGAGTTTGAATGCATGCTTTCAGAGCGTGATGAAGGCAAGTTACGTAATAAAGGCAGCGCGCCGCGCACTGGGCCATAACCACAGTTGCATACTCTTGTTTATGCACTCTTGGTACCATTGCATGTAGTGTCTGCTTCTATCAAAGCAGCGTGCTGTCTATACTGGTTATCCCAGCAAGTGTACCGTCTGCATAGGTAGTTGTCTTTGCCGTCCTATTCTGATGTGATCTGTGTGGTGTGGACCGGGTGTGCACAGGGGGTCGATTCGCGTGTGTGGAGTCAAAAAATAACTATATTTGTCAACAAACAGAAACTATACTCGCGACGTTCGCCCTACATAGTTATTGTGAGAGTGCAGAGTATAGAGTATAGTGGTAATTGACACAATAATCACTTCAAAGTAGTATTCAAGCTAAGTCTGTCAATTTCGGTATGATCGGTCAAAGGAAGAAGAAGATTTAAAATGGTGAGGTGTCACAAACAACCATAACTTATAGCAGTGATCACAGATTAGAATACTGGTTCAGCTCAAAACTCAGGTAACGTCAGTTTGCTGACCGGAACATGCGGGCGGGCTGGATCGCGTAGTAGAGCAAGCAGTCCTCCGTTCTCTCAGTGCTTCAGGTGCTGCTGCCGATAACCAAAATAGCGCTCGACGCCGGGATGTACTTGACCATACATGCTACTGTCGGCCAACCAGTCAGCCTTGATCAGCTGCGGCTTGTCGGTGGCCTTCAGAAGCGTGGCTAAAGATGTGCACAACAACACATTGCAGCTACTCAATACGACCGATCCAGCCAGTATTTAATTTCAGTGTTGTGTGTCCAATGCCCGGTTACTTGTAGCCCCCCCCCCCCCCCTCCATGACCAGAAAGTCACAGTATGACAACAGTGATCAGTCTGCACTTTTCTTACCCAGGAAAAAAACAGGGCTTACTCAACGACTCACACTAAGTTCACAAACTGAAATAAATCATTGCTAAGAGTACCAAGTTCTACCAACCTCTAATTCCAAGGGTCGTAGCACTGGGATGTCAGGTGATCTGGCTAATTCCAAGGGTCGTCGTAGCACTGGGATGTCAGGTGGTCTGGCCAAATGGGGTACTTGACCAGAAATGGACATTATTGATGAAAACCCCCGTTTTCACGAATTGGGTGGTCAATTTTTTTTACAAAATAAGGTGCCGGTGGCCATGGCCTGACCGGGGGCCGACCGAGTCCTACGTCCCTGCGATGACCAGTGTTAGTTTAGAGTATGACCGAGTCCTACGTCCCTGCGATGACCAGTGTTAGTTTAGAGTATGACCGAGTCCTACGTCCCTGCGATGACCAGTGTTAGTTTAGAGTGTACATTGTACTTATAGTAACATAGGCGAATTGTCTTGTGGAGGAGAGATGAGTTGTTTCAATACGTATCACATCCACACAAGTCGCAAAGAAATAATATCTGGCGGTGTGTGTGATTGCATGGGCGGCGGAAGAACTGGCCTTCCTCTGAACTTTTACTGTGACTCAGACTGGGGGTTAAAACTAACATGACCATTGGCAATGGAAGTTTAGAGTAACCGATCCCAGCGGGCAGTACAAAACGTCCGTTCTTTTACCTTTCTTTCCTTCAACTTGATACAGGCCAAACCTCTCTGGCTCCTTGATGTCAAACTTCTTGGCCACCATGCGACCTATTCAGAACAATAGTGAAGTACCGTCAGACCGCGAACAAGATAGGTTCTTACTACTACTGCACATGCACCTGTGTGTGTGCACTGACTATCAAAGCATGCACATGCACCCCCCCCCCCACACACACACACAAGCAGTAGCGTTTGTCAAGAGCCAATGCACATACATGTACAAAAGGGCAAGGCTATTCAAGACATCCACGGCTCAGTCAAAAGGTCATCACATGCCCCATGATAACACCTGGTCGAGTACCGTCCACGACGCTACGCAACACCACTAGAGTGATGACCAGTGGGCTTTGCCCTGCACTGCTTCAGCAATTGCACTCGAACAAGCTTGCTTTTGGTTAAATCTTTTAACTTGTCCAATGCATGCCCTGAGCCCGGCGAGCTTCACATCTCAGCATATCCAAAGACTGCTTAGCTAGGGGTGCTGAAAATGCAGGAGCAGGGGATTTCCCTAGCTAGCCACCGGGCACATTAAACGTAACAGGTATTTCGCAATCAGATTTCTTACATGTGTCCGCCACGGTAGTATCAACTGTGACAGGTAGAGTATGGACAGACTGTAGGGCCAACAATAGCAGCAGCAGCAGCCACACTGATGCAATTACAACAACAGAAACATTATCGTGATTATTCACTTGAACCAGAGGAAGGAGAGAGGTTGATGTAACAGTATCAGATGAGCAATCCACCACCAGTCTGGTCATGCACATTAGAACGTTCACACGCAACCCTGCAATAGATTGGCCTACATAGCTAAATGAATTGTGTCGAATCTCAAACCTCTACGGTTTGGACAGACACCGTTTCGTACTGCAACAACAACAGTAGAGCAGCAGTACCAGCAGCAACAGCAGCAGCATCAGCAATCTGTAGTCTGTTGATAGTGCACACAGTGTACGTTCCACTCACCAGTGTTCTGCCCGATGGATCATCAATGTGTATTCGCATAAACCCCTGCATGTCTGCAATGCACGGCAGGCGTACATCACCCGTAGTCGGCGAGACCATGCTGAGAGGTGGCGATGAAGAGCTGACATATCCCACATTGCTGCTTGGTACATCCCCGTCGGACCCTTGGCCTGGCTTTCGACTTGTATTATTCGGTACCATGCTAGCCGAGGAGATCTGTTGTTTTAACTTGGCGGAGGACGAGGACGAGGTTAACACCGCCGGCTCGGGTGAGACAGCTGGCTGTGACGCAAGGCTGCCAATAGCATGCACTGTGACAGCAACAACAAACACACAGCCACTCATTGCCAACATCTTAAAGTGACTCGCAATGCAGAGAGGTAGGTTCTCACAATGTGATTTTTGCAAAACGACATTAGAGGAACTTCTCCACTGGAGAGGTGACAGTGATAGGAGCCACAAATACAGCACTTTTAATAGTAAGTTAGTAATCTCAATGAACTGCCTTTCTGACGTCATAGGCATTAAAGGAGACAAGGTGTGACACTCCGTTTCATGCTTGTATGCGTGCAGCTGTGCACCCAGTGCAGGTTTCAAACGAAGTACGGCAGCGGGGCCGTCGATCCACCACTCACCAGCTGAGCTCATGGTTGTTAGGTAGTAACCGCCTTCACCAACCGTAAGAGAGTTATCCAGCAGTGCCCAGAGATACTCCGTCTCCACGCCCATCTTCCAGACCTCCAGCTGGCACAGTACGTACACCATCATGGGAAGAAAGTCTATGCACGCATACAAAACAGAAAGGAACATAGACTACAAGGTCGAAGGACGATGGTGTTTGATGAGAACATACGCCATTCCATCAAGTCCAGATCCCAGTTCTTACAAAGAGTCCAGCTCTGATACCGCTCGCATCAGCATGTAGATATAAGCAAGACACTACAACAATAGGACGCGGAAGTGGAATTCGCCACATAGCAGTTGCTCACCAAAACCAAAAATGCTTACAGCCAGAAGTTGAACACTCAAGACTGAAACGTTACAGACAATTCTAGACACGACGCTACAATAGCAGCAGCAGCATCAGCACAAGCAGTCGCAGCAGCAGAGGGTACACCTTGGACTAATTGAGCATGGTCATGTCGCCGATAAGTGGTCAACCTTAACACCTTAAGTTTTAACCAGCAAGCATAATATTGAGCTGCATAGTACATACCATCTGCACCAAGTACTAGCTGTTCATTGGCAATCTCCGACTGTGTGTCTTTGACCTGTAGTTAACGCACAATCATACAGAAAGACACAGAGATGAACAAGTATCACCACGATTGATGCCCTGCATTTATGGATGGCCCGTTGTACCTAAAACGTGGAAGTGAGTAGTTGGAGAGAGGCTGGAGATGAACTGCACACGCTTTCGCAGCTGATCCTACAACGTACATGTATGTTACAACACTCCATGGCCACAATCTATGCCACCAGCCGAACTGGGGTGTGCAGCTTTGCACAGCATTGCATGCCGAGAAAGACCTCATCATCAGCGAAACATCACGGTCAAAAATCATTCGGACATAGCCGCTAGCGTTCCAGCCTGTACACATGTGGCCATTTCGACGTTTGCAAAAAATACACATGTCCAATGCACTGGCCGTGGTCATTCTTGATTTATTGGGTCCTGCCAGCAGGACAAGGCGTCATACTGGTAGGGCAACGGGCAAGCTAGCTGAGTCAATAGTAAAATTAAGAATGCATTGTTCACTCACCGACTTATAGATAGTCTTGATGGCATCCAGCATGTGCTGGATTTTCGTGTTGGGTGAGATGGCCTTCTGCATCTTGACCAGGTGCTGACCAATCTGATGCAAGGAAGGGCCCTGCGGTGGAATAAGACGCTCCTGGCGGATAGAAACACAACGCGGGCACCACGGCGGCATAACAATGATACTGAGCAACGTGCAAGTATGGTGATGCACGACGGCAGCATAACAATGATACTGAGCAACGTGCAAGTATGGTGATGCACCACGGCGGCATAACAATGATACTGAGCAACGTGCAAGTATGGTGATGCACCACGGCGGCATAACAATGATACTGAGCAACGTGCAAGTATGGTGATGCACCACGGCGGCATAACAATGATACTGAGCAACGTGCAAGTATGGTGATGCACCACGGCGGCATAACAATGATACTGAGCAACGTGCAAGTATGGTGATGCACCACGGCGGCATAACAATGATACTGAGCAACGTGCAAGTATGGTGATGCACCACGGCGGCATAACAATGATACTGAGCAACGTGCAAGTATGGTGATGCACCACGGCGGCATAACAATGATACTGAGCAACGTGCAAGTATGGTGATGCACGGCGTGCATGATCAGTCACAGGAGGAGTTGATGGTCTCCACCAGTAAGATGAGTGGCTGTGGCAGTGACGGTATTTGCACCGGTTCACCAGCTCAACATCATCGGATTGTATCAGTGGTGTAGTTGACTGTGCGTAGAACACACATATCCTAGGGTAGATGTGACTACATGACGTAGCTAACCAGCTGGCTAGACGACGGATTATGGCCACTTACTCTCACACCAAGGTCGGCTGGAGTCATCCTCTTCCCGGCTTTCATACAGTTCCTCAGATTGGCCAAGGTACCATCCCTACACATGCACCAACAACAGACAGTACATACATGTAATCAACAGACACTGGTGTATAAACGTCAATTGAGTTTGGCGAATACTTCCTCGTCTTTTAACTAGATTGCAGTGAACCTCTGCAAGCGTCCCCAGTGGTTGTTGTGCCTTCCCATCTTGATTGACAGCACATCTGCGTACATGGGTAGCATGGACCATAATCAGTGCTGCTTTGAGCGTGCAGTGCCCTAACGTAATACAGCCATTACAAATATTCAATTCTCCCTGCAACACATGCAAGTAGTTGAAACATTCCACACATCAAGTTGATTGCTCCTACATGGAACACACGCTTCTTGCCGGACTTAACACTCGACTGACGCACGACTGCCATCTAAACACACGAGCAGCCCACCGCACCGTCCACTCGGCAAACCTGCAGGAAAGTTCGAATTCCACAGATCCCAAGCACAAGTAAACCAGAGGCAGACTATCCATGGACCACCTACCTGGACATATTATCTATAAAGGATTTGTATACGAGCGGCTTCAGCGGCTTCAGCACGGCCTTGTGCAACGCTTTCTCCAGTATGAACTGAACATTGATTTCGGTACCGCCAGCAAAGTCATAGCTGCGAGCAATGATCTCATTGAGCTCCTGACGGCCTGGGCCAAGCAGGTAACCCTTCAGGCTATTCATGAAGCCACGTATCTCTTCGGCAAACTTCACCGGGTTGTCATCATGGGGCTTGCTGTTTGCCGTCGTCAGGAACACATCGATGTTCTGGCCCAGGACGGTGTTCTTGCTCGCTGCATACCTATGAGTCGTACAGGAAATACAAAGGGGGTCATGTTGACAGAGCTGCTTGAACAGGTTATCTACTACACCGCCACTGAACAACGCAGTCTCACGGACTACACCGCCACTGAACAACGCAGTCTCACGGACTACACCGCCACTGAACAACGCAGTCTCACGGTTGTTGGCATCCACAACGCCTCAACACTTTCCCTCACACTTGATCAAGATTCCAGAACAAAGTAGGAGTATATCAATGGCTGATGTGAACTAACACAGGGATTAGTGTATAGGTTTATCAGTGGTCCACTCACTTTGTGATACCAATGACAACACGCTCTGTTGCAGTCTTGCCAAAGCGAGACATGACACTCAAGTTGGCTGCGCGATCTACATAGCAGTACACGCAGAGACAAACACAACCACCACCGACAGAGGTAAACTGAGATGGTCAGTGTGTGTGAGTGTGTGTGTGTGTGTGTGTGTGTGTGTGTTAGTGTGTGTGTGTGTGTGTGTGTGTGTGTGTGTGTGTGTGTGTGTGAGAGAGAGAGAGAGAGAGAGAGAGAGAGAGATAGAGAGATAGAGAGATAGAGAGATAGAGAGAGAGAAATAGATAGATAGATAGAGAAAGAGAGAGAGAGAGAGAGAGAGAGAGAGAGATAGATAGAAAGAGAGAGAGAGAGAGAGAGAGAGCCATGATAAGAATGGGCAAAAGGGAAAATAAAGTGGAAATTTGTATCTGCATACCATTCGTTTACATGTGCCATCAGAAGTCGTAGTTTTACGATAGTACAAGATTGAGATCAAAGTCCAGTACAAGGTTCAATGCAAAGTGCAAGGTTCAAATCAGGGTACAGGGTTCAATGCACAGTACAAGGTTCAAAGTCGGGTACAAAGTTTATGGTACAATACAAGCAGCACAACAGCATGCTTTACTAGCAATCAATATCAACAATCACAAACAATGTCATACTTTTTATCCAAGCAGAGGGATTCACTTTCGGAGCTGAACACATCAATCAGACAAGATGAAAACATACAGCATCAACTGGCTGAGTAGGAAACGCAGCATTGTGTTCACATGGACAATGTGTGTAAGAATGGTTACTGTCCACAGCATGATCGAAGTCGGGGAAAGGTTACTTGAGGGCTGGTAAGAGCACATACACATTCCTACACTGTGTGCCCTTGCTGGATCAGCAGAGTAAAGAACATGGCAGTGGCTTAGATGCAGACAAGTTTGAGAAGTGTGACAGCAGTGCATTGGGATGACGCACAGTCCTGTCATGTTTCTAGTACAGTGTAGATACTAGATACTTGTAGCGTCTGCTTGAGCTGATCTCCAGCATACTAACAGGTTAACCCATACACACACACAAACACACACACACTCATCACATCCTACACACAATACACACGCACCCATGCCCGCACATGCACAGACACGTGCCTGCACAAGCGCACGCGTACCCCCCCCCCCCCCCCCACATACACACGCACACACGACAGGACAGGACAGGACAGGGTGGTGCATGAGAGGAACACAAACAAGTACTAACAAACAAGTACTTGCAAGAGGGATCATACGAGCTAGCTGGCGTGTCTTACCGCTTGCTCGACGGGGTTCAGGATCGTCCATGCCCAGGATACGCTGTGCCTTGCCGTTTACCTTTGCACCCGTCAAGTTATCATCATCCACACTGGGCCGTCTACAAGCAAACATGAAGTTGAACATGAGAGGCGTTTGAATCATCTCTGTCGTGTATTAGCGTAAAAATAGGAAACTTAAACAAACGGCAGAAGCCAGGCATTAACAAATCTTCCACCACTGCAGTCAAATATCTAAAATAACAATTGTCAGTTGTAACGTTTTAGAAACCATGCAGCACTGATCAAGACTTGACAAGTTCATAAGACTTACTTAGAGTTAGGGATGTGTACAGACGGAGTCGTTTGCGCTGTTCCTCTGGAGTCCAAAGGTGATGTCGACGGTGATGAGTCCTCCATGACCAACTGATCAATGTCAATGTACGCATGGGCTGCAAAACATACCAGTGTGTACATTCAGAGCCGGACAAACGCGCACACACACACACACACACACACACACACACACACACACACACACACACACGTGTGCACAGAGGCAACATACACGACATTGTGCAGTCAGTACACGGCCATCATATCACACCACCACAGGACCGTGCATGGGCTGCAGCCGCCATAGCACTGGTGTGTTACTCGATAGAGATAGACACAGGACAAGACAGACATTGCATCACATTTACTAGGTCTGTACTATCCTGTGTCTATCTTAAAAGATAGAAGCAAGACAGGACAGACCTAATATCGCATTAAGATAGACACAGGATCAGATAGGCCTAATATCGGACAAGACAGACGGAGTATCAACACTACATGGTATAAGATCTGCAGGCAAAAGCATTGCAATTGTCTGCGAGCAGTGTGGAAGACATAACATATTTGACCATGCTGTCTTCCCGTTCATAAGATACACACAATTTGAACTTACACCCAGAGCTTCTGGAGGATGGTCGCACACTGCCATTTTCTCGCTGAATGCTGCCAACGGTTGAAGTACGGTGGCGTGGCGGCTGCTGTTGCTGTAGAGTGGCAGCTGCCTGTTCAATCTGAACGGGTAACAAGTACCCATCTTCATCCTTGTCCAAATCACCTACTAAATTCGCCTCTTCAGCAGCCACTTCATCACTATTGGCACGAGTGCGCGCCAGTGACTTTCTGTCGAGGGATGAGATGGTGTAGCGACGCTGGTGAGAGGACATTCGCCGCGCTGGCATCTGCTCTTCAATGTTATCCTCCTCCTCGGAGAGGGTTCCAGGTATGCCAGCTCTGTGTGGTATGGGCGGTGGAGTTTTCTTGGTTTTCTGTTGTCACACATTCCCACACGTGTACGCATACACATGCACACGTGCACACACACACACACAAACACACACACGTGCACACACATGTCAGCTATTAGGAGATAGCGGTCACGCAGCACTATAAAACTGCCGATATTTTTGCCACTGGTACTTCACAAGCAAACAGCTTCAGTACAATTAGCAAGCCTCTGTGCTCACAGCAGATACTAATAGCGCAGTGTGTTCTTAGTAAAGCTAAATCAATAATGAAGGCACCTACCTACTTTCCGCCATGTCTAGTTATGTCTAGTTGTGTCTTGTGAGTCATAGAGGGTGGTGGAGTTCCTACGGATGCGGAAAACTCGCCGCGGCCCGTGAATTTGTTTTAGTTATTGAGACACCATACTACAAGTTTAACGCTTACCAATGTCTTCTGCTTCGGTGGCAAAGGTGGCGGGGTTGCTTCAGCTGATCGTGGGCTGCTCGACATTGTGTTATTGGGTGACATCTCTGACCTGGAGCGCGGCACCTGAGGATGCGGCATTGCAGAGGTTGCATATCGGTTTCTTTTCGGCGGCAGGACAGGAGGCTTGTCCCTGGGTAGCGGTGGTGGTGCAACGTCACCACGCGTCAAGGACATCGAGCCGGGCGGACACGTCAGTGAAGTCTTGGGCGTTGGCACAAACTGCGACTGGATGAGAGGCATTCGTACGCTTTTCTACAAATGAAGAAGGAAAACAAAGAAAACAACAGGTATCCGTAATAATGCAGCACGTGTACAAGCTCATACACAAGAAAGCAGAGCATGTTCACACATTAGTCAGATTAAAGACAATCAAGGATAGAAGAAGAGATCCTGGAAACATTAAAAGACCTGACATAAAGATTCCACGACAAGACTCTTCTAACGCTTACCTGGAAAGATGCCCTTGGAGGACATACACGCGTTGTGTCATGACGTATATCAGTGATGCCTGCCTGGAGACAGGACACTTGACCGGATGTCAGTACTCCAGGGTTAAGCACGGATGTTTCCAGAAGCTTGAGCATGGCTTCAATTGAAAAGTTCAAACACATTATACACAGACACAGAAAAACGCAGGCACAGAGAGGCGAGTGCACACGCAGACACACACACACATGCACACAGACACATGCACACACATGTACACACACACACATGTACGCGCATGCAAGAGCCCAGCTTCCTTCAGATCTATCTACGAGTATAATTATAGGCACAGGGAGGGTGGGTTAATATCATTCTTCCGCAAGGCCAGACACAAGACAGGCATGGATACCTAAATGTTCCAGTACATTTCAAACTGAAGGAGGGAGCAGCAAATCCAATGACAGACCGGACAAACCAAACACTCACTCAGTCTGTAGTATGTTTTCGGAACCTACCGCTCTCTTTCTCCATTGCCAATAGCAGAGATTGACGATTGGAGGGCTCTGCAACGCTAATCGGCAGAATCACGTTTGTCGGCATTCCTCCACTGCAAGCAGTAAGGACAACAAGGTAAAGCAAATCCGAAGACTCTGATGAACACAACAGCAGAGTTCTGGACATGCGTCTATGTATTGTTCATACACGTGCCACTCTTCCCGTTGAAGTGACATATTCGTACTGTGGGTACCAACATTAAGACATACATGATATTCATCCACTTAACAACAGCCATACGTAGTGTAGTCTATATGGACTTGGCCTATGGAAACTGCTGAACAATTCAGCTCACGGTCGGATCAGCCTTGCACAATTCAGCTCGTCGTCGGATCAGCCTTGCACAGTGCTGCTGGCTTGTGCCAGACAATCTAGTACATTTACCTGATGACAATCTAGTACATTTACCTGATGTAGTCGCAGTAATGAGCGATCAAGTCTTCCAGCGAGTCGAAGTAATGTTCGGCACCCTGCACCTGCAGCCCTGTTGGACACACATCAGATACCACATACACCACACACACACACACACACACACACACACACACACACACACACACACACACACACACACACACGTGCACGCGCGCGCACACACACGTACGCACATGTACGCACGCACACATGCACAAACGCTCACACACGCAGCCACAATGAAGACAGTCATAAGCCCCACGCATGCAGGAACCGCGTGGTCTTATAGCCGAAACATACAATTATGGTGACAGCCTAGTACAAAGCATGTCCATGTATTTGTATAAGTCTCACTGAGTCAGACACAGGATAAAAAGCAGGGGTAGCACAGCGAACAAACATGCCAGCAACACTGACTGCAGCATAGAGAGAGCAACAGCTACTAGAGAATGCACATGTCCTTACCACTGCGTTTCTGCTGTATGAGATAGTGCTGTATGTAGGGATTGGGGTCTTCTTGTCGCATGGACAGGGCATAGTTGCCCGGTTTACTGCTGTTGCGAACCATGAACACACCCACTTCCTTGTGCTCCAACATACGGAGGGCTGAAATGTAGTAGGACCAGTACAGAACATGGCATAGACTTAGCGACAAAGAACAAACAGACGGGCAGGCAGACAGTGACACACATACACACATGCACATTCACACACAAACACAAACATGTACATTCTCCATTTAAAGTAATTTCCACCACCCAGCAAGTGATGGGTATGGTGGATCAACACAGTCTGTGGCCTGGTTCTTCGGGGCGTGGCTGGCAATTCTCACCTCATACACCTGTCAGACTTTGGCCGGACCACTTTGGACAAGTTTTCTGTAAATGCAACAATTACAAATAGTCTAATGCCAAAGAAGGCACAAGAAGAGAGTGCAGGAAGCTGTTAATGGCATGTTTGCACAGCCGGGTCGCTAATATATAGGCCACGGGCTGTCTTAAGATGAAAGTCGATGGACAAGCCGTTGGTTGTCTTCAGCTGGTCGAGATTAATTCTACGTGGAGGGCTATGTGCCTCCGGTTTGTTCTCCTAACACCCCCCACCCCCCACCCCCCCCCCCCCCCCCACACACACACACACCCCTCCACCCCTCGTCTTGCATGCCCGAACGGGAGGATGGCACAGGTAATCAAATAACACCACACAACTCTTCTTCAGAGCATCGACCGCAGTATACATACAAGTACTGAAGAGGGGAGGGGGGGGGTATAGATTCCTGGTTCCTGTTTGTGATGTGCACAAGATATCACGTACATGGAGCTAAATGCCAGAATTATCTTGTTAGAGCGCACACACGTCTATCACGTGGCAGTGGCAGCTAATAAGAACGAAAATCTATTGTGAAGTGGCTTCTGTGCCCCCTACCATCAGCACGACTGAGAGTCGGATAGAACCATAACTCCGACGAAGCGTGCAGCCGCTCTACAGTGGTCAGCTCATCAGAACGAAGTAGAGTATGCTGCAAGACAGAAGCAGCCAAGACATTCGCATTCTTCTCCATATGGAATGGCAAATTTTCAACATGACACCGGACATTGAAAGCCATCGCACAGGATGAAGCAAATCTATTCACACATTTATACGCAGTGTTCCAAAGACCTCCTCCATGTAAACCTTACGTAGTTGTAGTTTGCAGCTATCGACGGTGCATTGTAGTCTTCTGCTCCGTCTACTTCATCCTCATCATCAGATCCTGGGCACGGGCAAAAGAATTGAAAACTAGACCAAGCGTTCCCCACCCAGAAGAGGTAGCACATGGCCAATTTCTAATGTCATGGACATGTAGTACAAATTGAATTCTTCAAACGTGCCAGCCAAATGTAGATGCTGTGAAGTACAGCAAGATAGCGCTGTCTGGTGGGAGCGCCCGCCCCGCCTTGATTTTACAGCCAAGGAAAGAAAATTGTATGGCGTAATGCAACTAAGTGTGTACGGTGTGAGAGCCTTAGTGTACTAAAGTCAAACTTAGCATGTTGTTGCGTGGAGCTGGCATCCGCTCGATGGTAAACTGATTACGCATTGGCTGCACGACGTGCAATGTGTGTACAAGATACATGTCGCGTATAGTGACATGCTCGCATGACCTACAGACAGGACACCATCTCCAACCCACAACCACGGAAGGGAGGTGGTGGTGGTGGTGGGGCACTCTCGCCATCCTTTACGCTACATGCACACGTAAGACAACTTGAGTCACCCCAGGCCATTACTGTGCATAGCATATATCTGGTATGTATGTTGCTTGACCTCTAACACAACCAGTGGAACTGGCTTAGTGCAGGCCTGTACTGCAGTACTCTACACTCAGTCTTGTACTTTCATACCACCACTGCCAACACACTCACTCCACACTCATTCTAAGTTACACTCACTCTACACTCATTCTACACTCACTCTACGCTCACTCTACGCTCACTCTACACTCACTCTACACTCATTCTACACTCACTCTACACTCACTCTACGCTCACTCTACGCTCACTCTACACTCACTCTACACTCACTCTACGCTCACTCTCCGCTCACTCTACGCTCACTCTACACTCACTCTACACTCATTCTACACTCACTCTACGCTCACTCTACACTCATTCTACACTCACTCTCCGCTCACTGACACTGTACACCCACGGTCTTACCACTGTCATCATGAGCACTATCATCATTCTCATCGCCTACAAAGTCATCCAGCGACCCTCCAGGAGAACTAGATGAAATGGATAAAGAAGAACAGACACAGAAGTTTAACACGGATGGTGAGCCAATATAATTATGATGAAGAAAGGAAAAGGACAATATGTTACGAGTTATGACAAACTGTCCACCAACGTAACCAGATCTTATACAGTCAGCGAGTGCGATTTTTCCTTCCCCTCTTGGACCTTTCCGAACCTGAGCCTTCCAAGTTGGAAGGTTGTTGGTTTGCGCCTTGGAGAAGTGTTGGAGCTAGGTGTCAGGTCGCCGAATGCACGGTCTCAGTACTCCTTGTCAGTTTGGTGCCATTTTGTCGCACTCGCTGACTGTATAAGATCTGGTTACGTTGGTGGACAGTTTGTCATAACTCGTAACATGTTGTCCTTTTCCTTTAGACACAGAAGTCACAACCTATACAGCACTGTTGGTCACCGGAGAACTGGCGGGGGTTAGCCTCCTAGCCGAGACCGTTCTTATCTTCATGTATTACAGGCGATGCACAGTCGAGTCACCGTGTATACATTGGTATGCTGTGCCAGGGTAAAATACTAGCCTGGTCGTTCTCCGGCGCTACCCGACAGTACTCTACCTACCGGAACTACAATAGTAGTGACAGAAGAAGAATGGCAGATTAAAAACACGGGTAACGAATTGCCAAGCATGTCATGCTGGCACTGTTAGTAGCTGTTAACACACACACACACACACACACACACACACACACACACACACACACGCACATACACATACCTGTGTTGCGAATCCAAAGCAACCGTCCCGCTTGCCGTCGGCAGCGGAGTGTCACTGTCTAAAGACCTGCATGAGGTGTGAGAAAACAGCAATGATAATTATGAGGGATAATTATACAACCCACAACAGAGAGGCTGGATGGCAAACATGGTATCTCAACTCGCCACCGATGTGGATAGCCACGTTCCACCTGCGGAGATAGTGGCCAGACAGACACAGGCGTTTGCAGGAGCATGTGTGTGTGTGTGTGTGTGTGTGTGTGTGTGTGTGTGTGTGTGCATGCGTGCGCGTGCATGTACGTCTGTGTGTGTCTATCTGTGTGTGTGTGTGTGTGTGTGTGTGTGCGCGTGTGTGCGTATGTGTGTGTGTGTGCTTGTGCGTGTATGCTTGTGTGTGTGTGCGTATGTGTGCGTATGTGTGCGTGCGTGTGTGCATGTATGTGTAGAAACGGTCCTGGTTCGGCTGCAGGAAGTCAAGATAATAATAATTATTGCTGATGAATTTTAGTCTAAAACAAGCTGAATGAAAGGAATCTTCACCTTACTTACGGTTAGTAAAAGTACCCCACAAAAGTAATGACATGTCAGTATAATCTAATAATATTGAATTCACACACAGCTGGACACATCTTATTTTGCTCACCGCCTATCCATTGTGGACGAAGGAGAGTCAGCATTATTCGCACACCATTCGTTCAGCATATCGTCCAAACCCGTCACGAAGCCACTCAGCATCTACAAAAAAGAGAAACGCTTTTGCCGTCAATCGCCATTCAAACTTTCAGTCCGTCTCCGCCAAGTCCTGCAGTGGACAGCGGCTAGTTCGGACTAGCTTCGCAAAGGCATAGACCCAACTAACTTGGGCGCTGGCCAGCTCAACGCAAGATCCATTGCCAGCAGAAACATAGTGTAATCATGTGCCAATGATGGTCAGTCCCCTCCATCGCCTTGCACAAACACTAATATTATGGTTTGGCGAGTAAAGCTGGTGCAAACCAGCTACACAAAATTCCCCACCACCCACCTTCCTGTAGCTTGCACGACCTTCGATATTTTGGCCTCGCAAGGCACTGGGTGCTAGCGATTGGCCAGCGCTCGGAGCGCCACCATCATCGTGCTCCACCGTAACGGACATGGTTGCCAGTTGAGACTGCGGCTGGGTCTCAGCGATGTCGCGTCAACTCTTATACAAGCAGACTACCACCACTTCACTTCGCTCAACTATTAAATTTACTTGTGCACGTCAACGCTGTGGGAAAGTGGCCCTCCTTTCCACCTCGATTCTTCGCACTGGGCCTTGAATTATTTATTGCTTTCGTATTTGGGAGGATGCACCACAGCAGAACGCAGGGAGTAGTGCACTTACTCCCTGGCGACCTACTCGCAATTTGACGATCTCCCGAACACTCAACAGCGCAGAAACTACAACTGGAACAAAATGACAAAATGCAAAGGTAAAATGCCGGACTATCGCACGATCCATCTACACTCCACTCGTAGATCTACGGATCGTAGACCCAGGTACTCGAAGTCCGTACACTTTTACAGTGTGTGTTTGTCGAGCTGAAACTCACACTAGCAATGATCACTTGCCAGAATCCTGCTCGTGGATGGAAGGTATCTTGTCCAAGTTTGTTCTGAGGCCAGGCTCGATTGAACCAGGCCATCTTTCGATCCGATCTGTTTCTCTGGAGTTCGCTGATTTTTCATATCAAATTTTTGTGTCGCGGAGGGTACTCTAAGTCCGTACTGATCAGAGGTGACTCGAAATACACACATATTTCTGCTAATTGCTAACTTGCAATCCCTCGGTTACGACGAAAGCACCGAAGGGATATGTTTGGCATGTGCCTCCACCAGTATTTCTTGCAAAAGCGTAGTTTGTTGCCGAACTGCAAGCTGTTTTAGTCGGCTCAGAGAAGAAGCAGCTGCGCTGTGAAAACCGCGGGAAAACAGTGGTGGAGATGCCAGGAGTGTCAACCTTTCTGCAAGAATTGGTGGTTCTCTGTAAATTCTTCTCCTCTGGCCATTGTCAGCTCTAAGCTGGCTCTTGATGATTGAGTGAAGGTCTGTTTGACGCTGTGTCCGTTCGAAATCGGTCTTGGCAAAGTTGATTTTTGCATGAAATGTAACCCAATTTGTATTTCGTATGGGCACTCGAAAACCCACTCGCGCGTGATCGCGTGGTATGGGACTTCTGCTTATCGTAGATCCCTGAACATTGCTACGCGAGGAGAACATACCACACTGTCCCCTCGATAAAATATTTGAGTCGAATACAATAACAGAACATGAAATTATGGGCGTACGAACTTAGGATACCATGTACGGACTTCGAGCACCTGGGTCTACTCCTGCCAGATTGGGCACAACGGCGACTCTCATGCAGTCAAGTGGTTGACTTAGCACCTAGTACCTAGTCTACTCAGTTAGTATCTAGCTAGCTGTACAAGCTGTAGGCTGACACTAGACTGAGCCTGTACGGCTGTAGTGACAGTGTAGAGTAGAGGCTGAGCATGAGCAGAGCCTACAAAGTACAAATAATACAAAATAATATTACTACAAGTACAATGTTATTACTTGAAGTATGAGAGTCTTGAGACTATTCTGTCCCCGGGGAAAATTGCGATTCCGCGGCCGCGTTTTTTGCGATTTTTAAAAGACCGCGTTTTCCGCGATTTTCCCGCGTTTTTTGAACTTTTTTGTTGCACTACACGTACACACAGTGCACTGTTCGGTCAGCAACGTCTCATCGTGGCGGCTTTTTACTCAAATGACGAGTGCTTACACCAGAGACTTGTTTAAAACTGATTGATTTCACTACATACTCACTGAAAATTGCCGCACATCAATATTATTCACTGCAAATTCACCGCAAATTATGCCATATTATGCCGCGTTTTTCCCCGCGTTTTTTGCGATTTTTTTCCGCAATTTTCCACGGGGACAGTCTATTATACATGTACATGTATAGGCTAGGCTGGCGAATGGCGGTGGCTGTACCGACCAGGGAGTCGTAAAACTAAAAGCCGGCTTTTACGACTCCCTGGTACTGCACTGACGCGGCATGGCACGGCACATTAATAATAATTAATATCTTTTTTTTTCCAACGCAAGCAAGCCTCTTGTACGGGCAAAATAAACACAATAATTATTACGAGTGCAACCTCAACAGCACCGGAAGAAAAACGAGAAAAAATGGCTGTGAAAACAGTCTAGTACTACGGTCTAATGTCATAAAATGGCTGTGAATACAGTATAATGTCATAAAATGGCTGTAAATACAGTCTCTTCAGAATTCCCAAACTCCATTGCAGCGTATTCCTTGCACTTGAAAACACCGCCATTCCGGCAACAGGCTCTCAGCTGCACCAAATAAATACTTGAACTTTGCCAATATTTCGCCCATTGGGCATCGCATCAACCTAGGCCTGATATTGCGACGAAACCTAAACGTTCGCTCATAAGGACTCATCTGGACACGGTACTGGAGAGGCATCTTGTTTTCATAAGCTAAACCCAGTTCGTAAACTAACTGACATATCGCGGATCCTACCGCATATTGC